TCGCGTAGTGTCCCATAGATTTATGCACGAAACCAATGTTGTTGTAGGTCGTACCAAGTGATGGATGGTTGGAAGGAAGAGATTTCTGTTTGATTTCAAGAGCTTTTTGATAGAACGAGAGTGCAGCCGAGTAGTCTCCCATCGAATCATGCACAAGACCAATGTTATTGTAGATGGTAGCAAATGATGGGTGATTGGGAGGAAGAGACTTTTCAAAGATTTCATATGCCTTTTGATAAAACGAAAGTGAACTCGAGTAGTCTTCCATCGATCGATATACTCTACCAATGTTGTTGAAAGTTGTCGCGAGTGATGGATGATTGGAAGGGAGAGTTTTTTGTTGGATTGTAAGTGTCTTTTCATAAAACGAAAGTGCAGCCGGATAATCTTCCAATGAATCATGCACGAAGCCGATGTTGTTGAAGGTTGTCGCCAATGATGGATGATCGGAAGGGAGAGATTTTTGTTTGATTTCCAGTGTCTTTCGATAGAAAAAAAGCGCAGTCTTGTAGTCTCCCATCGAATCATGTATAGAACCAATGTTGCTGTAAGTTGTAGCCAAATCTATGTGAGTAAGAGGGAGAGAGCTTTGTTGAATTTCAAGTGCTTTTTGGTAGAATGTCATTGCAGTTGATAGATCACCCTTCTGTTTTATGATATATCCGAGCTGATTATTGAGATGGACCAACATTCTCCAATCGTCGTCTCGTGTCAAGCTGAATAGTGTAGTGTAGATGTTTTCGGCCTTGTCAAACTCACCCATCTTGACCAATAATGAGCCCAAGCGATCCCACCCTGTTCCTTCACCAATCTCCTTTCGGATGTGATTGGCAAGAATTTCTAGTTCAGCATCGTTGTTCTTCGTCAATTTTAGTTCTACTTCCCATAATCCACTTTGGTTCAGTTTTACTTCACCGATTCGAAAGACAGTATGCATTGAGAAGAGAACTTCTTTTTCTTCGTCTTTATAAAAGCTAATGTTCTCTCCCAGCGAAGCGAAACAGCCCGACGGATCCACCATCATCCGGAAAAGAACATTTATCATGTCGGAATTTCTTTGAACATTATGAGCAAAATTTAATGCGATCTTGCGATCAGTGCTTGTTGACAAGAAACTGTTGAACGACAATAAACCACCCTTATTGTTCCTCATCTTTTCAAATTCAGCAGTCGACATGCCCTGTCCTCGATAAACAATAAACGAGTCTCGTGTTTTTGACGACAAGTGAAGGTCTTCAATTTGTCGATGTATATCTTGCATAAAGAATCCCATCTTGATAATTATTTCAATATCCAGAGTTCGTAAAGCCTTGTTCAGCATCGAGTAAATGAAACACTGGCGAGTATACCACCAGATGGGCGACGGATCTTGCTCGAACTTCTCAATAGGCAATGGACATGGATAATATTGCTCGAATTCATCAATCACTCTCAATTCGGCAGTATTTCCAACATATTGTTCACGACAGAAGCTTACGAATTCTTTCTTCGCCTTGTTATTATAATTCATACTGAGAAAAATCTCTTTGAGTATTTGCGAGTACATAAATGATTGATTGAGTTCATCTGAGCCAGTGTTTGCCACATTTGTCGAAGACACAATACTAATCGAAGTTAAATCATTTTCACACTGTTGAGTTTGGTGTCTAAGCGAGTCGCATAGAGGTTCGATCTGAGTGAAGATCCCTTTCACTTTGCTCCACTGTTTTATCCAACCTTCATTATTCAATTTATCACCGCAAAATACATAGATCGAATCGATTTGAGTGATTCTATGTATGCGAGGCAAAAGGCGTGGACCAAAAGTATCCGATACAATTATGAACAGTTTTTCGGACCTTGACTGATTAATGAAATCGATACATTGATCGAGATCGTTGAATTTTGTGGTCGAATTAACGATGCTTCGAAGTTGCCCGATCGAATTTCGAAAGTCTTCATCGGAGTCCTTTATGTTTGAATCTAACCAGACGATAATAAAGTTTTCTACGACACGTTGCATTGAATGATGTCTTTCCGATCGTTCTTCAAAATTATCTGGTGACTGGTTTCTAAAGTTGGAAGTAGACACTCTCTGCATCATACCACTACTGGTATTGTCTGAGGTGCTGGTGCGAGTAACTGTTGAGATTTCTTTTTCTGCCGTCGAGTGCATACGAATGAAAGAGCTTCACTCCCTTTCTTTTATTTTGCTCTTTGTTTACAATAAATATTGAATTGCATTGTCTTTTTATTCGTTCTCCGATTGCCTACCGTGAATTTGATTCTGTGTTGGATGCCTTTCTCAATAGCTTTGCATAATGCATGCTGACTTCAAGTGTGTGCTGTCGTAGGTGCTGTAAGACAAACAAAAGACGAGTGTGAGAGACCGAAAATAAATTCAGACAGATAGAATTCACTGAGCGGTTCAAGGACGCATACTTACTCTGTGTTGTTTATTATGCCGAAAAGAAACCAGCTTCAATGCTAATCGGTTCAAATCTGGGTGCGGGTGGGTGTGGGTGTAGGTGTAGGGTGTGGATGTGGACGTGAGGTGTGGGTGTGGGGGTGTGGATGAAGAGAGTACCTATACCCACATCCACACCCGCCCCCACACCCACACCCACACCCATACACCCACACCCCCACACCCCACCCACATCATCAGGAACAACAAATAGAACATTTCTTCTTCAACGAAGTCTCTTTCGTTTTAATGAAATAATCAATAAATTAAATGATAATAGAAATGCCTACAAGATAATCATTAATCATCTTGTTAATAGGAAAATGAGAATTAGTACCAAGATTAAAATCATTTCAAAGTAATTAGATTCTATTCAATGCTTGTCCAATATTCTTTGAAGATCTGATATATATTAACTTATATGAAATAAAATTCTATTTAGCATTGTATCAAAACTATAAAAACATTGTGTAAATCGTTCAGAATGTTGGAAAACTATTGACTGTGTTTCTCCATTAAGACTTTGTAACACTGCATTTGTTATCTGAATCATGATAGACATTTGATCATTTTTAATAACACCCACTCTATCATGAAAAATGAAGATAAAAAAAATTTGTTGGCAAAAAGTTTGCTTTCAATGTGCGTCAAGGAGAAACGCTAGTTTTATTAACCACCTGTGAGAAAATAAAGAATAAAGTTTGCTGGGAAAACAATAAAGGTCCAATAGAATTTCATTTGAACGCGTCATTTGTCTACCTGTCATGTCAATTGTGAACATTGATTTGCAAATAGCTGAAAATGTCACGTCGCAATCTGTTGCATAAAACATTTTAGTTGAGACTCTTGCATATGAGAAGAAAGAGTGAATTATTCATGTTCGATTGAAGTTCATTGTGTTGGTTCTTCTAGCATATCAATGAAAGAATAAAAACAATTTGTTTTATTTTTCTTTTTTAGATTTGATATCAAAATGCAGACGAATGCCAGTAACGAAACTGATTTTACTTCAATGGAAACACTGAAAAATATCACTCATGAAATCTATCGTGTATGTTTAACTATCATTTTCATATTAGGTGTCATTGGACATTTGCTCAATCTACGACTGTTTACTCGCTCAACACTGATAAAAAATTCGTGTTGTCACTATTTTCTTGCTTCGTCTTGTGTTGCTCTCATTAGGCTGTTCTTTGGTGTATTTGTGCGCATGCTCTATTTGGGTTATCACATTGATACACGAGAGTCTACTATCGAATGGTGGTGTAAAATTCGCCTTTCGATCATTTATACATCGTACTTGATTTCATCTGCTCTCAATACTGTGGCTTCATTTGATCGCTACGCATCTAGCTGTCGACAGAGTCGATATCGACGCTTTTGTCGACCAAAGCTGGCTCATCGTATTATTGTCATTGTGATTGTAGTTGCATGTATTATTAATTTACATATGCCATTTAACTTGGTCATTGTTGATGGAGATTGCTGGACAAGGCCTGGATGGTATCGAATAGCATATGATATATTCTTTCTGGTTGTGTATAATCTCTGTTGTCCACTTCTGAGTGCAGCTTTTAGTTTGTTGACTATCAAGAATCTACGTCAATGTCGTTTGCCACGTTTATATCAAGACAAGATGAAAGACTTTCAGCTGATGACATTTTTTCATACAATGTGTTTCATTCTTCTCACCATGCCGTTCGCTATTCATAAACTGTACTGGACTTTGACAGAGTATCATCCAATAATCTTACTGACAGACAAACAGGATAGTTTGAGCATGTGCATCGCTAGGATTTTATGGTTCACTAATGATAGTGCTGGATTCTTTATTTATTCGCTTTCGTCAGCAAAGTTCCGTGAAGAACTTTTTGCATCGCTCCGCAGATATAGATTTTACCGATTGAAACCAGAACGCTTATATTTACCAGGATTCATTGCTGTCAGTCACAAATGAAGCAAATGTTTTGATAAATTTTAACTCATAAACTGTGCAGCAAACATTTATTTAGAACATAACCACAATAGTAGCGCAAACACTATAATATTTTATAGAAAGCTGAAGAAAAGTTTCCTTCTATATGTCCTGATAACAAAAATTATGCTCTATAATTCTACATAATTTCATTATTCTTTAGATGATATTGTAATATTGAGAACATAGAAAAAACAGTAATAGCTTGGCGAAAAAAAAACTATAGAAACAAATTTATTCCAACGGCAGGTACAATCGTAATTATTTATATAGTAAATAAAAGAGTATTCTTTTGACAAATCAAAAATAGATGCTGTTTGAGTGTGGGTGTGGCTAATCTCTTCTGCCACACCCACACACTCGATTGTTTTCTAAAGACAATAATTTCTTTTGAAAGATATATTTTTTACTTGAACAGAAGATCGTCCTCATTTTCGGAATTTTCGATACTTGAAATTACAAAAAAAAATGATGGCAACATGAACATCTACAGATAATGATAGTCGGTGAAGTACTCTTGATCAATAAAATAGCCTATGATATGTTGTTATCAGAGCTAGATGTTCTTTAAATGTTGCATTAAGTTAAATCAATATTATTAGGAACATCGAAATAGACTATTTCTCCTTGTTCTAATATAAGCAAACGATCACTATTGGCTACTGTATTCAATCGATGTGCGATTGTCAACATGGTACGATCACCAAACTTGTCAGCAATAACTTCTTGAATCATCTGATCAGTCGTATGATCAACATTTGCTGTAGCTTCATCAATAAGTAATATATGGCTCTTCTTCAGAATGGCTCGAGCTACACAAACTAATTGGCGTTGGCCAACACTCAAATTATTTCCCGATTTTGTCACTAATAGATTTAGTCCATCGGGACGATTACACACTAATTGTTTGAGTTGAACAGCTTCCAGTGCTCGAAAACATTCTACATCTGAAAATTGTTCGAATGGATCAATATTGTATCGAAGTGTACCACAAAAGAGTATTGGTACTTGTGGAATAACACTTAGATGAGAACGAAGATAATCAAGTGAAAGACGACTAATATCAATATCATCGATGAAAATAGTTCCATTGATGGTAGATTGATCAACCAGTCGAAAAAGAGCCTGAAGACGTGATGATTTTCCGGCACCTAAACAAAATGTATATATTGGTAAATAGATTTCACCAAGAGAAAATCAGGCATTTCTCGACTTCGGAATAGCCTAATTGGTGATTCATTTTCGACCCCTCTATTCGATTCTACCAATCTTCACTGGACTTCATTGGAATTTTTGACAAGAAAATTTTCAACAACTTTTAGGTATATATTTCGAAATATTAACAAATAATATATTCCGCATATTTATATGACTGAGAAAACGCCAGATCATAAAGGCTGTGGGTGTGGGTGAAGAGAAGATCAACACCCACACCCACACCCACACCCACACCCACACCCTGCTGCTGCCGATGAATCGATATTATGACGTAACGCTACTGCAAGAATAGCAGTAGTCAATGTGAGAAAGGATACCAGAAGATCGAGTCGCAAACCGAACCAACGTGCAGCACCTAAGAGAATGAAATAAGCTCGTGAGTTTGCATTGATTCTTTCCATAAATAGATTTAAAAAATTGTCTTGAACGTTAAACGCACGAATATTAGTAAGTCCATCTAATGAAGATGAGAACAATACATAGATTGGACTCCATGTTACACTTTCGAGTCGTTTGAGTTGACGACTCGAACGTATATAGAACCGACGAAGCCATAAAACTGTGGGAACCAAAGGTATGAGAATTAGAAGCATCCATGGATTCGTTATTCCAATGATTATGATAGAGCCCAAAGTCATAAGTAAATTTTCCATAGCATCGATTAAACGCAGAGGCAATGATTCATCTAATATCTGTTGATTCTTGCTTGGTCGATTTAATATTCGTCCACTTGGATTACTTTCAAAGAAACGTAAAGAAGTATACAAGATACCCTTGAGCATTCGATTATGAAAATGGGTCGAACCACGTAACATGATGTAGAAAATAAAACCTGTTCGTATTAATGTAACGATCAATGTACTAAATGTGGCTGCAATATACACGAAAGCGTCCGATGATGACTGTTGTTGTTCATGAGATTTGCTAGACAACAGTGCAAGCCAGCGATTTGTAAAGTCATACAGCCCTTCAGCAGCCAACATGACAAATATCATAAGAAAAAAGCCAAACCAACGTAACGGTGGTGAAGTGAAAAGCTTTAGCCAAACGTTCCATTTGATACTACCGTCACCTGATGTCTCACTCTTTACAATCGAATTTATGTCGGTTGTAGCAGTGTTAAGCGTCCAACTGGTCTCGTTGTCATTAGATGAATCTGTTTCTGTTGTATCATTCGATGACTCATTTGCAACAGATTGTTCAAAATGTAATTCATCAATGCGACCGTTTGCCAAGAGAATCATTTGATCTGCTTCAATCAAGAAATGTGTCTGATGTGTAACCAATATTCGAGTTTTTCCACAAAGGAAACTACGAGGACCAATACATTCATCAAAAATTTTCTTTGCCACTTTGGGATTAACAGCAGCAAGTGAATCGTCAAGTAAATATAAATCAGTATCAGTATAAAGAGCACGAGCGAGTGATATTCGAGCTTTTTGTCCTCCACTCAAATTAACACCTTTATCACCACTCATCAATAAATCACCAACTTCACCAAAATTCTGTAGATCGATATCAAGACAACATGCTTTTATAATATTGTTGTAACGTTTTTCATTCATTGGTTTGCCAACAAGAATATTAGCTCGAATGGTGTCAGTAAATATCCACGCCGATTGTGGAGCATACGAAATAGAATCAACATAGAGTTGTAGTTTTCCACTGACAAGATTGATTTCGCTGAGAATAGCAGCTAGCAACGATGACTTTCCAGCACCAGTGGTACCTTTTATTCCAACTAATGTGCCGTGCTTGATATTGATATTAAGATTAGACAAACAAAGAGAATCTTTCCAAGAAAATGATGCACCTTCCATTATAATTGCATGATCATTCTTTTTGTCTTGTACTTTTTCTTGTTTATTGACTAATATTTCGAGTTGCATAAATTGATCAATTCTATTTGCAGAAACACGAGCTTCACTGAACTTTTCTATATCAAATGGTAGTAGGATGATTAGTGAATTTCGAACCAGAAAGAAAAATGTTACTGTTGAAAAAACATGTTCTGGTTGCAAATATCTACCAGTTAACCAACTACCACCGAATGTAGCAAGAGAAATTAAAGTTAATCCTGCGAAGCCAAGACCAATATTCAAAGCTCTCAAGTAACTAGATTTATAAATGTGCAAAAGTTCATGTCGACGTGTTTCACATACTCGTTCTTCCATTGCTTTTTCCCAATTGTACATCTTAATAATTTGACATCCATTAACAATTTCATTGATCGTTTGAGCACGCTTATCTGTATATGTCATTGTAGCCTTTCGAAATCGACTGAATAATTTACTTTGAATGAGTTGTATAGGTAGTAGTAGAATAAGTACTGCATAGTCAAATAATGTCGGTAAACCAATATTCCACCAAATGAGACCAAGCATTAAAACAGCATCTAGAGGTCCCAACAATAGAGAATGTGCGAAACTACATAAATCTTCAAATTTACTAGTGTCATTTGCAACTAGATTGATTGCTTGAGCAGCAGTAGTCTTGCGTAGAGCTACTGTATTAATGGTCAATAAATGTTTGTAGATGGTAGATGATAATGCATTGCAAATTCGTATGCCAATACCTGTAGATTGAAATATGATTTGTTGATGAGTCATGGCTTGCATCATTGCAGCAATACAGAGAGCAATAGCACATAAATAAGCAGCATAAGTAGGTAATCGTGTTGGATCTTGGATGTAAAGAACAATTTCGCGAATAAGCAATGGTTGTGCAAGACGACTTATAACAAATGGAAAAATGAGCAATATCACCAGAAGAAAATCTTTGAAAAATGTTTGTCTGAGAACATACCATATACCTGGCCATTTAGAAGTGTAAGGGTTCACTCTATGCAATAAGATTGAACATTTGTCTTTGACATGTAGATCACTGAGATCATCGTCGACAATCGTCCGTTTATTACCCAAGAAGAGAATAGGTGTCATCCACGACAATAGTACAACATGAATCCATCTTGTCCACGAAGATTCATCCCAGTTCAATCAACATGATTGTCGTTGTTTACCTAGAATGCATTTGTCAGAACAGTGTAGTTACGTTCTCTTGTTTTATGAAACTATCTGACGTATAAGTTTGATATATATCTTGTCATGAAATAATTTCTCTCTTTCGTCTTCTGCACATGAAAACAAAGTTCTATCAGCTAGTAACTAAAAGCGTATTTTGGCCTGCATCAATTTCGATTCGAAATAAGTCCAATTCCATGAAATGGTCGGACTTCGATGAAACCGGAATTGCAGTTGATTAGAATTGGTCATAATTGGTCTGCTGAAAAAAGTTTCTGTTCTTGCGATGTATTACATAAATTGGGAATCCACTATTTTTTTTTGTTGAGTTTTCCAAAGTTTGATCGAAGATTATCGAGGATGAGAAGTCTAAATCTGAGATCGGTTCCTCAAAAGTTTTTCTTCGGCTTCATCATCATCGAAATCCTTTGATCAAATGTTATAAAAACCGTTACTTCGCTACAATAATACTTTCGACATCAATAAAAAGGACTTCAAAATTTTGAGAAACCGACCTCAGATTCGGTTTCATCAGTCTTCTATAGAAACAATAGCATTTTTTAGAAGATCAATTCCAATTTCAGACCGAAATTGGTGCATGCCTAGATTTCACTATAGTCATTATCATGCATTCATTTGAACTATTAGTTTTCTGATTGTTTTCCAAAATTCAACTCCCATTCATTTAGATATTGCTTTACTATTTATTAAAGAAGATATTTTTCTCGAATCATAAATAGTGTCAAGTTAATATATAGAAAGATAGTTAATGGCACTATCCAAAAGCATCATTCTTTGTCTTGATACAAAAAATGTTCATCTTCTTATCAATAACTATATTACAATCAAATCCAAACAATTTCGGTTCATTATTTTAACTATACTCGCTTTCAGTTAGCGGAGATACTTTAGATGAATCTAGAGAATTGCCATTCTGCAGATCCAATTGTGTTTCTGGAGAAATTCGTGATACAGAAAAACTATAAATATGCCGTTTGGATGCTGCGCCAATATCTGTCACTTTTCGTCCTATTATCTCTCGCTTACTATGTGAGTTATTGAGAGTCAACCGAAAAAAAAACCAGCTTAGGGTGTGGGTGTGAGTGAGATGAAGACCCACACCCACACCCCACACCCACACCCGCACTCTCTTTTAGCTGAAATATATTTACATATTTCTTTATCGTATTTTATTACCTAGTTTTATACTGGTATGTTTTTGAATTATTTTATCTTTTTTGAAATACATTTTGTCTTCACAAACAGCTGTGAATGATACCGTCTTGTCTTCAGACATGATTAGGAATGAAGAAACTTAAATAACTGAAAAACGCAGACGTACATTGTTATGAAAAAGCAAATTATAGAAGTTAACTATGAGTTGTCACAAGAGAAACAAGTCAGCCTGCGGTTTTAAAAGTGAGAAGAATTGAAACATACGAATCGCTCTAGCTCTATTAACACTATCTCAAATTTCAGCGAAACTAGAACATTCTGAATAAATCTCGTTGGCATCGATGATTAGTTAAGATGAGAATCATATATGGAGATCATTAAGAGATTTTCTGTTTATTTCAATGAAAACAGTCCAAAATCTGAGAATCTATCAAACAATGTTATCGAACAGAGTTATCTTAGATGACTTGTTTCTGTAAGATAAATAAAAGACAATTGAATATTTGATAAATGTTCGATGATAGAGATGTCTGTCGCTGAAAAAAATTGCTATCGTCTGATATACAAGATGTTCATGGTAACAAAGGTACCTGGCCGATTAGCTCAATTTCTTGATGAATTTGCAGAGTATTTAAATGTCCAGAAGCATAACAAAAATGAAATAAAAACTCCTAGCCTATGACGCTACATCACAAGCCAGAAATTAAAAATATAATCCGTCTGAAAAAACAAACAACAAGAGCATATAAGACCGCGAAACGATTCACTGACGTTCTTCAAGCAAACGCTTTTAAAAATTGCATAAATCGTTAGATTTCCTCACGTTAAACAGTTTGGTAGTGTGAATAGTTTTCTTCCTACATTCCGTAGAACTCGGGTGCATTTTTGTCTTTTTTTAACTATCGATTGTCAACTCGCATATGCGCACAATGAGTGTTATGTTATAAAAAAAATACATCCTAATATCGAACATTTACATCTCTAGATCGCTACATGAGTTTTGCGAAGACAATTATTGCTTTACTTAGCGCACTTATCGAAAGTTCGAAACAAATTTTTAATTATCGGTTGAGAATCAGCCTATTCGTTGCGCTTCTGCAGTTAAATATATCAGTACTTTCATTTCTTTGTTGACGTCCGTGATATTTACGACTATGCGAATAGGAAATAAGTCGCGACAACTAGATGAATGTTGATAGCTGCTTTTAAGTTAAGATGTTTAAAAAATTTACATTTGTTTTGATTGCTTTCAAAATGACTCTAGCAGTAAATACAGAATCAGGCAAGAATAAGCATGTTTTTTTTAATGCTGCTCTCATCTTTGTCTGGATTGTTCATAATCTTACAAAATATTCTGAAAAATCCAATAATATCTATCAAGTTATTCTGTATCTTTTAGAATAAGAATACAAATTCAAATGTCCTTACCGATAACGCTATATTCCATTCAATGTAATGTATTTAGAGTGAATGGTCCGATAATACTATCTATTGGAATTATCGGTTGTATACTAAATTTAATGGTATTCACCAAGAGTATTTTACGTAAAAATCTTTATATGATTTGTCTAATAGCTGTGAATATTGTTCATATTTTATATTTTTATTTGGGTTTTCTCTTAATAATACTTGCAGTTGGTTATGATACTGAATTAAGTATCATTAGTATTGGTTTTTATCGGTTTCGTTTCTACATTTCTTTTGTTCTCATATGTTGTCAATCAAGCTGTCTTATATTAGCATCTATTGATCGTACATTAATCATTTCATTAAATGCTGAAACACGAAAATGCAATACACGTCGTTTGATTGTAACAAGTCTGATTAGTCTGATTTTATTTTTTTCCGTAATTGAAATTCATGGATTACTATTCATAGAAATTTTACAATATGAATCTGATTACTTTGTCTGCTTTGATCAACCAGGTGCATACACTACATTTTTAGGCTATCATGCCCTTCTCGTCAATGGTTTTGTTCCATCTCAACTAATGGTGATATTTGAATTATGGACGGTGAAAAATATTCGTAGTGTACGTCATAGAATACCAAATCCTCATGTAACGAACACTGAATATGTAACAATTGGTAGACCACATATAATTCGATCAAAAGATAAACAACTTATTCGAATGTTACTCGTGGATATTGTTACTTCTATTATTTTCAAATTTTCAGTTACAATCTTACTTATCTATCAACAAATTACACAATACCATCAAAAATCTTCAGAATAACAAATCATTGAACAATCACTTCTACAAATATCGTACTTTTGATATTTTATTGATAGTAATATTAGTTATTACACAAAATGTCTTGATATCAAAAACATTCCTCATAGAACTGAAGTACATTTTCTCAAACATTGATTTTTTCTGTTTTCGTCGGCCATGATCATGTCTAAAAAAAGTAATCAACAAAACAAGTACATGTTGTGAACCATTGTAATTTAATATTATTTCTGCTTATATCTACACATTTATTTCTGCATATGAGCATCTTGAGGAGTAGTGTACAAGTGTGAATGTCTATTCGTTATATGCACATTCAATCTCGTCCTTCAAGTTATTGTAAGTCAATATCGTTAATTTGTCCTAATATAAATTCGTTGATTTGTGAAAATTTTTCATGCAGAATAATGAAAATGATAGGTCAACATTTTCTTCTTGAATAAGTCAGAGATAATCACGTAAATGATCATGACTTTGAGATATTCGATGCATTATTCCTTAAGTTAATTATGAAACTTAGAAAAACAAACGGCAACTAGTCATTTTTGTTAGAAATGTATCGTTTTTCTTCCGTTAGACACAATGCATCGAACATATATTGATATAAGATACTACACGCTATTATTCCTTACGTGTGCAAAGGAAATCATGAAAGAACATATAAACTCCTCTACCTATTAGAAGAGTACGAGTCTTCTATTCGAAGTACAGTTTCTTGGTTTTATACTCTTTACTTAACACATTACTAATAAATAGTTTTATTTCACACATTGAACAGTCATACAATAAACAATAAATAAATTATGTTTCAATGCAAATCAATGGTAAGCAAGGAAAGAACTGCGAACTCTTTTGAATCTGAATCTGAAAAAAATCCGTGAAATCTTGAAAATTACAAATCCAATGTTTCCTTTTACGTAGTGGTAAGACAATTTCACTGAATCGATTCCATTTCTATGCGCAACTAAATTGATATTTGATAATTGTCCGTAATACTAAATGCATAATCTAAAAGAGTTTCTTATTTTCTGATCTTTATTTATAAATATTAGAAAAGTGATATACGATGAACAAAAAAGAATATAGAAAACAATAAGAAAAATGCGGATAGAAAGAGTTTGTCCTATTATAAAACCCAATGAGCATCCATAACCTTAACGAGGGCCCGCGTAACCACCTGGAAACGTGTCTGGTGGACGACCAATCATGCCATCTTTGTTGAGATCAATATGAGTTGCTTTCTCGATCTTGCTTTTTATGCCTAGTCAATGATAAACAATAATATTATACGTGAAAATGAAAATATGTCAGAGGTATTCACCTTCGCCTCCAATATATCCATCTCTGTTGAAATCGACACCGAATTGCTTCTCAGCATTTTTCTCGCCTCCAACATATCCATCGTGATTGATATCGAGACCAGTCTTTTTTTCGATAGTATTGGTGATGAAATCTAAGCAGAATTTGAAAACAAGATTCGATTAATTGATCGTACAGTGAAGAGTATCTGCAATTACAACTTACTCATGATAATCGTTGATTGACGTATTTACGAATGATGAAGAAGCTCGACGAAACTATATACGTATATAAATATGTGATTTTTTCTTCGATTATTTACAAAAGAGTGACGTCATTATTTGAATATAGGAAAAGAAAAAAAAATGTAATTTATTACAAAGAAATACGTATTTTTCTCATTTGTTATTCATATAGATTCATGTATGATTTTATCATTCTATCATCATAATTACACATTATTCGAGTAAAAATATTGCATTGATAAGACGATGCATAGATATCGTGCACACGTGGTCACCATAAATAATGAATATAATCAATATATTCATCTTCATATTCATAGTTGTTTTCGATGATCCTCGCGAGAGGTGTTACTTTATTTTTACTTGATGAGATAAATGTAAAGAAAATCTTCATATTTATAAAATAAAGATAGCGATAATCGTTATTTGTAAAAATAAAGACAAAATAAAGAATAAACAAATTTTTTTTTTTAAGTCATAGAAGAATGAATCAATGATTATGTCATTATATAATATCAAATAAATGCTATTGCATTCGAAAAATGATGTCTTCACTTGGAAATATGACAGACGAAACAACAGATCAGAAAAAAGGATACGCCATAGTTAGGTTTCTCATCAATTTCTTACATTTGCAAGTCGTGAAAATTGCAATCATTAAAATAACAGTTGTTTTATTTAAAGTCACTTACTGTTCATCCTGAGTATTGATATCTGTACTGCTCTAAATAATAGAAAAAAGAAGATTTATTCTTACAAACGGCTGCTTAGTGTTGCAGTTTATTGGAAAATCGTTGATCGGTTGCGATTTTTAGGACATAAGTTGAGTTTTTTTCTTGATATTTGATTGTATGAATTTTCATAAAATCGATGAAAATCGTATCAGTTTTTTCATAATTTTTTTTCAATTGAAATTGGCTTTGAGAAAAGTCGTTTCATTTTAAATGTAATCATGAGTTCGATCATAATTTGATAAAAACTATACAGAGAATACAATCTTCAAATGATTCTTTTCATAGTATAATTAGCATCTTTCGATGTCTTATCAATAAATGATAACTAAAAAGTCATTGAACTATGGGAATTTATCTACATCCAGTTGACTATTTGAATTAGAATAATCAAACATTGATTTGTCAGACATAGTATAGTGTTTCTCAAATAAAACCTTTTATATGTTCTCTCATTAATAATTATGAGAAATATGGATCAAATTGAAAAATTTTGATCTCAATTGACTACTTTTAAGAATGCTACAATCATAAATTTCTTCTTATATTAAAGAAAAAGCTGCAAACAGAATATAGAAGTCTGCTTCTTCATTATATCTAGGCGAACAAATTACCAATATTCAAAATGACTTGTGGAATCAAAAAACGAGACACAACAATATGGTATATGACCGAAGTAGTTTAGTTATTCTCAAGTCTGTGTGAGAATCAATTAAAGGAACATACAGTCTTACTGGCTCATCGTTCACTGAAACTGTATCTGGCAATGCTTTGATTTTATTCGTTGGACTAATAAAACAGATAATAATCTACTCAGTACACGCATCTATATCAAGAAAGGGTGTGAGGGTGTGGGTGGGTGTGGGTGTGGGTGTGGGTGTGGGTATACTTTCAAAAACGACCCACACCCACACCCTCACCCTCAAGATCGAGAAAGACTCATGTAAAACTGAATATTGAATTAGTATCTTCATGATAAAATAAAATTAAACATTAACTACTTAGGGTTGACCAAAAGTTCGTAGAACAGTGTTGAAAGAACCTTGTCGAATAAGGTAACCTATTCAGAAATGAAAAACCAAATATACCATGTTGTAGAGCTTTTTGAGGCGCGTCGAATGGTATATAATAAATCCTGTTTTCATAAGACTTTGAAGGAACTAGAGTCAGTTTACTGATAGACGACTACACATCCCCAACCACACCCTCATCCAAGCATGATAGGTTATTGAATATTGTGGTCCTCGGTACTAGTCGAAAGTATTTGTAAAATATTGTTTCTCACATACGATTTTGTAGAGTTTTTCACGGGCTACAACCTCATATACGTAGCATCTCCGGGCATCTTGTCAGTGTGGGTATGGGTGTGGGTGTGTAGTCGTTTGTCAGTAAATTGACTCTAGTTTCTTCAAAGTCTTATGAAAACAGGATTTATTATATACCATTCGACGCGCCTCAAAGAGCTCTACAACATGGTATATTTGGTTTTTCATTTCTGAATAGGTTACCTTATTCGACAAGGTTCTTTCAACACTGTTCTACGAACTTTTGGTCAACCCTAAGTAAATTGAAAATATTCTTCAAAACTTTGTGAGAAAGTTGAATCTTGTGACGGACCTGATGCGATAAAACCTTCCATTTGAGCTTAGAGCTTGCTGATCAACAGAGGATGTAGTATAGATCAAAGCCTTAATAGAATTCATATCATTGACAATTCATTTTTGAAAAACAAGTTCAATAAGTTTTTCTAAACAAAACTTCACTGTATTTTGTGTAAACGTTGCTTTTTTTTCAGATGTCCATATAGAAATATTTTCATACATTTGAGAGTTTCTTTACAAAATCGTCGTATCTATAATTCATTGCAGTAGGCATATGAATCATATCTGAGTTAATGTTCTATATGTAGAGAAGAATTAGTCTTCGATCGATGACTTTCTTCAGACGTTTTTATTTTTTTGTTCAAAAGCTCTTCTGGCTGAATGTTCATAATTTTTATATAGGTATGTAGAGAATACTTTGGGCTGAAGATCAGTGTTTTTGGCCAAAAAAAACTGACAAAAAATAGCAAAGTTATGCTACTTTAAATTTCGATTTTTCTAAAAAAAGGTATTCAACATAGATCTGAACTGCTCTACATCTTTTTTCTACATATTAATTGTTTTGAATTTATCACATATATTAAGATCCAGTGTTTGGCAGTTTTTATTGTAGTGATGGATTTATGGATGAGCACGAAGGAAAGATCATCATTGATTCGAACAAAAGTTTGTTCGTTTTTCTCTAGCAAAAATGAATAAAAAATGAGTTTACACTACCTAATATAAGCCTCAAAAAACTGATTTTTCTTAATGATTACTCCTTCTTCGGAGAAGTATCCCTCTTACAAAATCCTAGATCCGTTACTGTTTTATTGAATTCTTTTGAAATACATTCCTGCAATCATGATACAGTTTGAAAAAGAAAACCGGCATAAAACATTCTTCCGAACTTTCTGTTTACATTATATGTAAAACTAATGTCTGAAAACAATATCAAAATAGATAAACTAGAAGAATATTTTTCACAATTTCTCAAAAATCAAACGCTGATATATTTATCATATTCAAATATATTGATTGTCATAATTATTTAATTGATTATACGTGAAAAATTAGTCATTTGTTCCATGTCATCTTATTAATAATGAACTATAGTCAAGATTCATACCAGTATAAGTAGAGTAGATTAACTCATCAATAATTTACAAAAATATATTTCCTAACATATGGATTATGTTTTTGAGAAGCATAACTAATCATTTTTCAAACATATCTTCAAACTATATAAATCTAATTAACTGGTATCATTCATTTTTTTTGGTAAAATACAATACATAAAGCACGATAGTAGTTGGATTCGAATCTCAGTCGAGACTCATTTTCTTTTCTTTGTGTTTCATTTTTTTCAAGTAATGAATAATAGCCGTTCTACTGTTTTTTATTCGAATAATAGATGAAAAAAAAATCCTGTCATATACATTTATATGCATAAAACATATGTTATAAAATCAATAGATTATCATGATTGTTAAATAAAAAACTAAAAAATAACTTAATTAAACCAATGTTTTTGTACAAGACTCCAAAGTCTTTTTTCAATATGAATTAATTTGAGATGATGAAATCTAAGTGGACTTAGTGAAGATAATTCACGATAGAATTTTCTTGAATAATATTTTTGTAATCGAGATGCAGCTTCTAAAACCAATAAAACAGACAACATCATCATTAAAACTCGAACATATTGAGCTAATGTAACATCAGTTTCTCCATCTGAAACTGTACGTTGATCATCACTAAATTTTTCATATGCTGGTGCACAATAGCAATATTGTATAAGACGTGCTGTGGGTGCATCTAATGTTCGACCTTCAGCAAGAGTTTGAGTAAAAACTGTTCGATGATTATTTTTCATATCTCCTTTTAGATCCTTAAAAAATAAAAATAAAAAAAAAAGTATTTTCTATTTAAAATTAATTTAAACTTACTTGTAAATCATCAATTAATTGTAAACCAAATCCTATATATTCTAAATAAGCCATTTGAGCTCTTGTTAATCGTCCTTGAAGTAAAAATCCAGCAGCTATTACTGATGCGCCACCTTTTTCTGCACTAATTTGTTCAATTTGTGCCATGGTTGGTGCATAATCATCTTCAGTTCTTGCATGTTGTAATGTTGATTTCATTTGTGCTTCATGTATTGTAGTTAAACTCATATAAACACCTTCATATTCACCACCACGTCTCCAATCATTTTCAATAAATTTAACCATATCAAATATTTTTACTATACGATTAGCTTGTGCTTGTAATGATGATGGTAAATTTAATTCAGTAACATTTGATTGTTTTCCATCAAAATGTACTTGAGAATCATATGTTGGTTCACCAACCAATAGTCGTTCATGAAAAATTTTTGCAAAATCGGCTTTTGCTTCTCGACTTATATCGTTACAATCGACTAAATCATCTGTATATGGATAAAGCATATTATAACCAAGCATAGAATCAGTGAAACTTAAAGGTAAATTGCATTCAAGGTGAAAAGCACTCATAAACCAAACACTTCGACCAGCTTTAAATAATTCTTCATAACTGATTGTTGGATCATATTGTCGTCCTCTATTACAAAACTCTACAGTGACTCGACCCATTAATTGATGTAAATCACGAATAAATTCATCATTTGATGGGGGGATATTTAATGTTTCATTCCATAGTCGAAAAACTGAAAGAAAAAATGAAATCAAATTTTCATCAAAGCATATTTTCCTATTTTTGTTTTGACTTTAAAACTATTATCTTAGAATAATAATAAAAACAATATCAAACAAAATTTTTTTATGATCTATTTCAAAACAATAATTTTCACGTGATCTTTTTCAATTTAATCCTTTGATATAAACGAATTATAATCTAATATATATTCTTTCAATAATTTTATCGAAAATTATCTTGAAAATAAATAATAATCGAAATTAAATTATTGTATAATAATTTCTTGATTAATCATCAAATTTATTTTTTATTTTTTTATTTACCTGTTGACTTAATTTTCTTCTTAAGAGATGTTTTCTTGAACAATATAGCATAAACCAAATAATTTCTTATTTTTCTGAAACGTGCTCGTTGTTGTTTACGTGTTTGTCGTCTCACTCGATTATTATCATTTGTTGGTAGAGTATCAGGTAGTGAATACCATAATTTTAATGTACAATCATAATTTAATTTCAATCGTTCTTTTCGAAATTCTTCATATGTCTTAAATTCAAAGTATGTGTCAATATCGAAATTATCCATCTACAATAAAATAAAGGAACAAATAAATTGATTCATAAGATTTTATTGAAATAATAAAATTATTTGTTTTGTTTTTAGTTATATGATCAAGCAATTGTAAAATTTTATCGATGTTTCTGATTTTTCACCTAGTACTATTTCTTTTTTCTTCTATGTGTTCTCCTACCTTTTCTTCAAGGATATTTTACAAAATAACGAAGTTATAAGTTAATGTAATGTTATGGTCACGGTTGATAGTCACAACCAACAGCTTTTTTTAAAGTGTAGAATACAAAAACAAGAAAGTGGAAAGAAAAAAAATAATAGAACTCGTTCTCAAGTAGAGCGAAGGTGGATGACTCATCAACATAAAAACAAGTGTCTGATTCATGTAGGACTAATTGGTTCTTAATTTCAATCGTAAGTTTGAAATGAATAAGAGACATTATGAAGAGAAAAAGAAAAAAAATAGAATGCTATTTATTCGGAAGAATAAAAAGCATTCGTGTTTTTTTATTTTGCTTAATGAACAAAAGATATTGAACATGAACTAGGTATGCATCAATCTCAGTTGCAACAATATTCTATCGAACAGGTAATTTTGAGATTGATGCACAAAGGAAATATTAATCATTCAGATTGATATGAAGTCTCGTTCATGCTCAATTGACTTGGCATCTAAATAGAATGTTACCTAGTTGGACTGAGACTCGTATATGTCTCATATATGCATGAAATGCTGAGGAAAATAATTTCTTGAATTATTTTTTTTTCCTATAATCATGAGTTTACTCAATGACAATTGCGGCAACAATCAGTTATGTTATTTCTGTCTTACATAATGGACGGAAATATGCAAGCGTTTAACATTTGCATCTTCAACTATAACCAGTTGTACCATATAGATTGTTGCTGCCAACATAAAAAAGGCGATCCAACAAACCGTTGTGTTGAATTTAATGCTTCAGCTATATATAGTCGTTGATCAACTAGCAAGAAGAAATTTACAAAAAAATATTTTCTTTTCGTAGATGGTGAGAGAGAGAGGCATTCATTTTTTTACCCTCATAGTGTTTTTTTTCCGCGTCGACAACAGTGCATATCGTCGTTAATGCAGAGCAAAATCATGCATATACATTCATTGTCACGTCTTTCTATGCATATAAAATCTTCAGACTTATATGTATTCAGGTAGTCCTCCCCTTCTTTTTTTCTCTTCCCATGTGACTGTCAATGCTAAAAATAAGATCGTTTAATTAACAATTATGCATTTGCGACATTTATTTAGTCACGAAACATTTTTTATACTGTCCAAATAAATGAAGGCATCTCTTATTGATTATATTAGAGGAGAGAGGCAAAAAATCATACTGACGTGACGATTCTCAGAGCAAATTAAATTCATTTCGATCACAAGAAGGAAATACTTCTTGTCCACGTAATGAGACACTTCGATGATCAAGTTTTCGAAAAATTTTTTTTCACGTTGAACAGATCTGAATACATTATTTTTTAAATTGAACTTTGCCATTGAGAATCGGCTTTGAAATTGTTCAAAAATCGTATCTTGAATTTTCTGACTAGGAAGGCTGTGGGTGTGGGTTTCAATGCTTCGACACCAATACTAATAGCTACAACCACAACTAGGCCTCACACCTTCATCCAAATTCACACCCACATCCACTTCAGTGATTGAAATATTATTCATATGATGTGACAGTAAACGGTGATGTAATTTTAAAATGTAAATCCTTCATAAAAACAGTCATGATGATTCAATCGAACGATGGAGTGATTTTCTTTTTGTTAACTTACCAACTATTGAAAATGCGTCTCCAATTATGGGTAAATATCGATTTCGTCATTTTTTCTGAGGAAAAAAAAATGCACGAAAGAACGAGAGTGATTCAAGCATCATTTTACACAATGTGCATGCAATATCGTAAAACAGTGTAAAAGGAAGTACTCGCTCACTATGTCTTCGTTTTGTGGTGTAATGACAGCATTCTCGATTGTTCTTCGGGAGATGGCAATGCGATTCCGCCTAAAACTTTCCCAATGCATTCTTCGTAATTTCCCGAACGTTCTAGGTCGGGTGTGAGTGTGGGTGCGGATCTGGCTATGGATCTTCTCTTCACACCCACAGCCTGTGTTCCGTCAAATTATGTTATAGAGAGTTTTGGACGTTTTTATTACAAACATCTATGCTATTATATAACACTCGAGCTTTATACTACAAGATAACTATGATTGTTGTCATTTTTTTCCTTTTGCAGCGCGCAATACTCTTTAGATATGTTTCAAACACCATCATCAACTGACTCACAAGAAACATGCTTCACGCAAAAAAAAGAGGTGACATTTTACAAATTGATGCCATCATACTTCGGTCGAATCATAAGAACTGTATATGGTGAACAGACGATCTTTAAAGTTGGTATTTCTTCAGATATCATTAACACCTACCTTCCAAATACCTTATCTGCCTTTCCGGCACCTATTACAGTAACAGATCAAATAAAACGTGACTTCGTTTATTCGAGATCCATACTGTCCACATCACGTTCTCAACTAAATGGTGAAATGCAGAATCTTTCTTTCTTAGTATCAGAAGTTGATTTCTTCGAGCAATTATTACCGAAGCATATCGACATGGTACGCGTCAATATGGTCATTCTTGGTGATCATATTATTCTCACTCGTATTCCTCACACTTATAAAGTACCCTATTATCGTCTGTGTAAGCACATCACATTAGCCAATCGTTCAGGAGATGTGCGATTTGCAGGTGGACTTTGGCGTGATAAAGATGAAGGCTTTCGACTGAACAATAATTCAAGTACCTATCGACCATCCAACATACTAATCGAATCGACTGTCGCTCTTTTCAATCATTTATTTCCTTTCTTAGAAGTTCAGGGATTTTCATGGGAAGAAAGTGCTCGTCCTCCTACTTTCGATCGATTCAAATTAAAAGTAAAACAGAAAATAGTTTGTGAATAATGAATGTTTCTTACATCATTGTAGACCTTTTTTATGGTGAAAAACGATACATAATTTTTTAGATAGAAGAGTATGAAAATGTGAGGTGTGGGTTGGAGCGTTGGTGGGTGTCCGTAGCTATTGATAAGGATGTGTGGATTTGAACGTGGCTCTTCTCTTCATCATCCATACTTTGTGTATTCTAGAGAATAGTTGTATGAGTTGTTACGAAAATAGAATTCAGCTGTGTAAAAAAAAAGAATGATGATATAATTAAATGAAAAATGGGGTGAAAATATTCTAAAAACTTTTCTGTTTTATTCTCCATTCTTGTCTGATGACTAATTCATACTGCTTCAATGAATGGTTATTTAAAAAATAGAAAAACGACTCTAATTTTTAATCATACATTTTTCGAGCAGAATTGAATATTTATTTGAAAACATATATAATCAATAATTCGTTAGAATTCATTTTCTAAAATTTAAATGAAATATTCTTTCAGATATATAAATATAATTTTTTCTCCATTGATATTGAAAATTCATGAAATAAAAGACAATGGTAGCATTTGATAATAAAGGATGCAACATAAGTTTTAATTCCCTCTTGCAATACTCGTTTTTCGCATACTCACATATCGGTCGAGACTGATATTTGTAGTAAAGGTGTGGATGTATGAGTGTGGATCGTTTTTGAAAGTATATCCACACCCACACCCACACCCATACTCTTCTCCTAATACGCATCCATATATGTACTCGAAACGCATCATCTCCTTCTCACACTCGCAGCCAGAGCCACTATCAAATCAATTCCAAACTCACACCTGAAGGACAGATGACTAAGGATGAAAAGAAGATTCTTATGCACACACTCACTGTAACCACATTCGAACGAACATCTGTTCCTCACACGAAAAACATTCTCTATTTGAAGCACATCATATGAAGTTTTGAACAGTGATCAGTCTTCCATGAATCTGATCTAAAGATTAGTGTAGAGTTAGTTACAAAAGTGTCTTTGAACACATTCAAATTCACTATTGACGTATAAAAGAAAAGCAAAGTAAAACTCCTAACAAATTCAAAGATTCGAGAATACTGTTTGCATCACTGATGACCGATATATTCTGTTTGTATATACGTGGTATGCGACTCGAAAAGGCAGATAATACCTCTGATCTTGGTATGTTTGCTTCTCGAGCAACTTCATCAGCCATAATTGTCTGATTGTCTTGCTGTCCGATAAAAGTTACACGAGTTCCAACGGGGTACTTTCGATCGAGACCAATCATAAGTTGATCCATGGCGATACGTCCAACGATTGGTAATCGCTTTCCTTCAACAAGGACGCCAGTCGCTTTGAAATATTGATGTAATCCATCTGCATATCCTATAGGCACAGTACCAATCCACTGAGTTTCTGTTGTTGTATATTCGCCTCCATAACCGATCTTCTCACTAGCATTCACTTGTTTGACAAGGTCCAATATCGAGTGAATGGAAATAACCGTTTGAAGACGAATTGGAAGCAACTGTTTTAAAGGTTCGTTCGGGGGACCGGTCAACGCTTTTCCACATCGAACCATGTTAAAGAATGGCTTCTCACTATGATAGAGTGTAGCACCCGAGTTTGCACAGTGAACAATTTTTTCGGTTCGATTAGGGATGATTTTAAGAAACTCATTGAAGAGTGCGAGTTGTCCTAGAAAATAAGTTCTATTGGTTACGTCCTCAGAGGTAGCAAAGTGAGTAAAGATTCCAGATAAGTGTAGATTCGAATTGAGAGACGCAATCTTAATTACCTCTTGTACTTC